GCAGCGCCGCCGCTGCCCTCCGCCATCGCCGCCGCCGGGGCACGCCGGGACGGGGGCGGGACAGGCACCGGGGCGGGGCTCCGCCGGCACGGGCAGCCCGTTCACCGGCCCCATCGCCGCTGCTCCAGGGCGATGCGCGGACCGATCGTCCCCCACAGCACAGCCGGGATGCCCGGAGGCTCCGGGACGCGGCAGTCCCGCCACCGCCGTGCTCCCGGCAGCGAAAAATCTGCCCGTTCCTGTGATGGTGGCAGCACGGCGTCTGCCCGCAGCTAAGATGGCGGCAGCTGCGCTTCCGGTTTACTGTTCCCGGCCGTCTCAGCCCACGGGGCACGGCGAGACAGGGCCGGGACGACCAGGGCGCGGCTGCTGTGGGCAGCCTGTTCGTCGAGTCCATCACCGCTGCTCCGCCCGAACGTATCCCACACAATGACCGGGAGGCGGCGGTTCTGTCAGCCGATAACGCGAGAACGCACCCGTTTCTACCATGGCGGCCAGGCGGCGTCTGCCCGCAGCTAAGATGGCGCCAGCAGCGCGTTCTGTGCGCCGCCCGGCGCTCCCGGCATGCCCTGCGCGGGGCCGGGCACACAGCTGCCAAGATGGCGGACCTGGAGGAGCGGGTGTCGGATGAGGAGAAGGTAAAGGAGGGGGTGGCCGCCCCTCCGCTGTGGGCCTGCGCCGCTGCCCCCGGGAAGGCACCGGGTGGGGAGTGGCGGGCAAGCTCGCTTGGTGCCGGTGTGCCGGCCTGCGAGTGCTTCGAGGCGGGCGGGCTCCCGAGACCACCGGGCCGCCGCCGCCCGGCTGAAGGACCAGCTGTTCCTTACCAGCGCAGCGCTTTGCCTTCCGATTTCCTCATTGCCTTCCGATTTCCTCATTGCCTCCGTGCAGCTGATGCGTCTTGGCCGGTTGTTGCCCATGAAAATGGGCAGTCTCAGCCTAAACCAGGGCAGGTTTGGACATCAGGAGGAGCATCTGAACAGAAAGGGCGATTAGACGCTGAAGGGGCTGCCCAGGGAGGTGGTGGAGTTCCCATCCCTGGTCAGGGAAGGCCCGGAGGTGGCTCCTAGTGCTCTGGTCTTGTTGACAAGGTGGCAGTCAGTCACAGGTGGGTCGCCGGGTGATCCTGAAGGTCTTTCCCAACCAAAATGATTTTGTGGGAATGTATTTTCTGCGCTGCTTTTCCCAAATCAGCAAAGTAACCAGGGTGTCTGTAAGGTACTTTGCAACCTCTTCACCTCCTGAACACCCTCTGAGTGTGGTGTTGCATTTTCTGCTCACCCCAGCTGCTGACAGGGACTTTGATGTAGAACCTGAGAATCCTACTGGATGGAAAGGACTAAGTCAGAGCAAATAGAGCCTAATTATTTTGGGAAAGGGGGAAATGAGCAGTTTGTTGTTCTTGTGTAGGAGTGTGGAAAAGTTACGTACTGCAAGTTCTCTGCTAGGTCGTACGCTGTTGTCTGCACACAGTAGTTTAAAAATGCACTGTTGCTCTTCCTTACATCATCAGTGTTACACTTAGTGCTTGCTTTGTTTCTTAACATCCTGCAGCAGTTGTCAGGCTCATGGATTTTCAAGAATCCTACAAGTCCAGCAGTTGCTTTCATTTTCCCCTTAAACTGCATTTTCAGCTTCATTTCGGTGACATCGTTTGTGAAACAAGCAGGGCTTTTGAGGTGCAGTTCATCTGTTAGTCAGTATTTTAGGTGGTGTTTGAAATAAGTATTCCAGAGCAGAATTGATGTGGCCTTTAGAACACTCAGTTTCAGCCAACTCCATGCCCCACAGAGGCAGAGAAGGATAACCTTAAAGGAGGATCTGAAAGAGAAACATGCAGCAAAGGTTTGCTGTAGTGTGACTGTTCAGATGAGTCTAGAACTTTATATATGTTAATTTTTAAAGTTTGAGTTTACTGGTACTTTAAAGCAAAAAACCCAAAAACGTCAGTTGAGCAACGATATTAATTCCTTCCATCCTCCAGGCTTCACTCCTTTATTCCCTTTTAATTTCTCAGCCAGGCTGGGAGAGCTGGGGGTGTCCAGTCTGGAGAGGAGAAGGCTCCAGGGAGACTTTGGATCCCCTTCCACCCCCGGGGGGGGCTCCAGGAGAGCTGGGGAGGGACTTGGGACAGGGCCTGGAGGGACAGGACTGGGGGGAACAGCTTCCCACTGCCAGAGGGATGGGGAATTGGGAATTGTTCCTGGCAGGGTGGGCAGGCCCTGGCACAGGTGCCCAGAGCAGCTGTGGGTGCCCCTGGATCCCTGGCAGTGCCAAGGCCAGGCTGGGCAGGGCTGGGAGCAGCTGGGACAGGGGAGGTGTCCCTGCCATGGCTGGGGGGCACTGGGTGGGATTTGAGGTCCCTTCCAACCCAACCAGTCTGTGACTGTGGGATTTTCTTATCAATTCCTCCGAAATCTCCCCTGTTCTGCTCCCGCTCACTCTGCTGCTGTTCTGCCACTTGAAGCTAAGGGCTGAGCAGCTTCCCTTCCCCTCAGACACCTTCCCCATTTTAGAAGCAGGAAGTTGATGCTGCAGAGCTGAAGTGACACCTGAAATGGCCCCGGGGCCAGGAAATGGGGCAGGTTGCAGAAAGTCCTATTTTGGTGTTTCTGCAGAGGAGCATCCTGACACCACCCTCCAATCAACCAGCTCCAAAAACCAGCAACCATTCAAGTGCTTGACATTTCAAACTAATCACTCCCCAGCCTGCCTCCTGCACCCCTGACTTCAGTAGTTGGACTGAAATGTTTTGTATTTTATTGATCTGTGAGAGGCAGGGCAAGGGATAATTATCCAAGTGAACACTTTCCACTTGCAGCCTTTGCTTGGTTCAGAACTGGCTTTGTAATAACGTTTGATTGAAGTGCAGAGGCCTTTTTGTGCTGATTTAATTTTTTTCATCCTTCCAAGTGAGAGAATTTGTGGAAGACTGTAAAAATCTCTCACTGAACACTTGGGGTTTTTTTCTGTTTGTTTGTTTTTCCCATAAGGATTTCCTTATGAGAATCCATTGATCTAAACTTCAGCCTACTAAAACAGTGTCCCCTTTTGCAAGGGTTTCATGCTCTGCAGCCACGTCATCATTGCATACATTTTTAAGACATTAAATTTTATGGCTTTTTAGAGGCCTTTTTTGCCATATGTTGAAGCACCTTGTAAAAGAGAATCTGTGCATCTGGGGAGTTAATTTGCAGGGCATCCTGGCATTAGTGGTAGATACTTGGGGGAGCTTTAGCACACTGATATTCTGTGCTGTGCTGACAGTTGTGTTTGCTCAGAAAAGCACGTGGTGTCCCTTCAGAAATCTTGCAGCTCTTTGGGGCAGACTCTGAGCAAAGTGCACTGAGCTGCAGGGTCTCTAAACCACTGCCAGGCTCTCTTCATCACCACCCAAATTTCTGACAGAGAAATTCGACAATATTGTGGCAGCAATCTGTGCTAATTACAGCTCTTTAAATAGTGAAAGTTTTCAGTTTAAGAGCTCCATTTTTAGAATTACTGTACACTTACCAACCTAAAACCAGAAAATTAAGATAAAATGGTTTTATGTCCTGCATTGTATCAATTACACAAGATACTGTCTTTTTAATGTGTTTTTTGTATTGCTTAATTTCTTCAGCCACAAATAATTTATATCTATTTTTTGAAATCATTTCTAATTTGGAAGGCAGTCTATTTTTATCTGAAGCTCAATCCAGTTAAGGCAGAGTTGTTACTTGATCCTGTTGGAATAAGGCAATTACCTTTTGTTTGGAAAAGTGTTTATTTCTTTTCATGGCTTGCTTTAAATAATTATGTGACAAAGAATACAAACAATTTCACATTCAAACAGGGAAGACTGTTGAGAGAAGTGAGTTATTTCCAGCTCTGGTGATAACTCATGTGAAGCAGTTATATATATATATATATATATATATACACAATTCTTTGTTTTGCTGCTCAAAATGAAAAGTAGAAAGTAATCAGAGTTGTAATGAGCAATTCTGCAGTCACTTTCAATAAATGTCTTGTTAGACCAGAGAGGCTCTTTGGTCAGCTTTGTTAGCTGGAAATGTTAGCTGTCAGAGGAAATGGGATGTTTTTATTATTCTGAGGGAGAGGTTTAATTTTGTGGCATTTCCTTTTTCATTTCTTCCAAGATCTTTCTATTCCCTTTGGTCCTGTAAAAGCCATAAAAGACTTTATAATGAAAACCATAAACTCTTACCAATTCCAACAGAATCAATATTTGGACCACCTAAATTCTAACAGTGCAAGATGTGTATATTGGATTTCGGAACACATTGCAATTTTATTACACTTCTAGAAGAGACAGGGTTCTTCTTTTCCAGATTCAGAGTTTCTGGACATTGAAAGTTGGCTGTTTCAGTTATTGATGCCTTCATCATCACAGTTCAGTGCCTTCACAGAAACCCAGAATGGTTTGGGTTGAAAGGGACCTTGAAGATCATCCAGACTTCCCACTAGACCAGGTTGCTGCAAGCCCTGTCCAGCCTTGCTTTGAGCACTCTTACAAGACTATTTCTACCTTGAC